AGTCTCCCTGAACACAAGACCAAGTTGCGACAACGAGGTCAACCCACTTCTAATTTCTTCACTAGTTCCTTTGCTTAGGGAATATTCGAACCCTCTTTCTAGATCAGGCTGCTACAAGGTTTTTTGTTCACATGTTAAGGTCTATGTGGTATATGCCTGCCGACCTATTCATAAGAGACTATGCGAGCAAAAAACCGCGTGAAAGGTGTGGGTCCAAAAATCTGAGCTCACTAAACACATGGCCAATGTATGACACTCAATAGACTGGTCCAAAACACGACGCTTTGCGGGTTACGGGGACTTCACGTTAAAGCGTAAGATTAGGAAGCCTGTAGAAAATAGCAAAACAGCTAACGTCCTGAATAGAAGGAATGAGTGTAGAAAACTAAGTAGGAATTATTTGTAGCTGCTGGATAGACTTAGGGAAAGGGAGAGAGAGGGGGTGTAGGAAGAGCCACTGAGCAAGAGGAGACTGGATTAGCCCCGAGTCCAGCTAGGACTATCCCACTTCCCATGACATGAGCATTATACACGCACATTATATTATAGAACAAGCCCAAACATAATTCAACATTAGATCGTAGGCTCCTAATCCTCCTTCGATTGACGATGAGACCACATGACGAATTCCTTCCAACCAAATTTCTCTTCGAAATGAAGTGTCATGCCACAATATTTCATTAAGGAATTCCTCGAAACCCAGTTTTTCTTTATGGCTTTAAGATTCTCTGTAGGATCATTCGCTAAAATTTTATATGCTCCTGAGTCCTTTAAATAGATCATCATTTTTTCTATATCATCTCTGAGCTCACGTCTAAGAGCATCCATAAACTATATTAATAAATACCGATGTTTCTGCCATAACTCATATCTTTAGTACTGACCTAGTATTCAAAGTTAGATAGCAGTTTGATGATAAAGTATGTCGTACATTGTGCATGTAGAAAAATGAAGATAACCTTGAAATTTCTGAAAGAACAAATCTATAAAACAAATGAAATTATTTTTTACTCTGAAGGCTTGTATTGAGACGCGATGAAGGGATGGTTGACGATTGAATAGAACAATATCGTTATCTACTAGATGCCTTTCAACTATGTCTCCTGGTCTGAGCTGCTTAGAAACATCTTGCCGAACCTTAGAGGCTCCAAGAAAGCGTTTCATCACCCCCGTAGACGATCCACTTCCTTGATCTGTGTTGGATGAAGACTCAGCCTGTTGCTGTCCCCGAAGCTTGTACGAAACGAAGAGTGCACCTGGATGTTTATTTGGACCGTTGAGAACCAGACGCTGCATTTCTTCGAGATTTTGATTCGTTACACGCTGAGGATAAGTAAGAAGTTTGGCACAATGATCCGGTACACAAACCTATATGTCAAAAAGCAGTAAAAAATCTAATTAATAGTTCAATAGAAATACAAGTAAACAGAGGCACAGAAAATAATTTCTAATTATACTAAAAATGAACTACTATGCAAGTAATCTCTAATAAACAAAAAATCACGTTACATTTTGAAGAGGCAGATAGTCACCTATTTTGGCCATTGCACAATGATCGAGGTGATCGAAAATAATTTTCTAAAGGAGATAGGATATGAC